TAGGTAAGAGTCATCTTCAGCTAAGACAGTTTCATTTTTCTAACAGGGTGGTTGGCCTTTGGAATGGGTTGACCTTCAGATGTTGTAGAGGCAATAAATTTAAATGAGTTTAAGGAAAAGCTTGATAAGTACATGAATGATAAGGGCTGGCTTTAAGATTTGTTTTTTAATTATTTAATTTAATTTAGAGGACGGAACAGCAGAGATGGACCAATAGGTCCAAAAACATTATGTTATGTTAAAACAATGTTCTTTCTGTTATATGTAGACTCATAATTATAGTTAAAGATACGTTTTTATCTGTTTTGAATATAAAAAACTTTTCTAGCCATTACCTGTTTGAAAACAGAGATGCAATAATGTCTATCTGAAAGGAATTCATCATGTAACATACGATACACCACCTTTAGTGGAAATTATTTTTTGGTTATTGGTTTAATTCTATATATATATAGTTTGTTTAATCAAGTTAAGAAACATCTGACAGGAAGATGTATTAAAATTATGTGTTGGTGAAAAATTTGGAAGGAAATAATATCATTATAATTTGTCATCATTGATTATCACCCTTAGTGATTATAGTATTTTTATAAAAAATTTGCTTATGATATGTATAATGAGATGCTACAAGATTAAATTGCTTCATAATTTAAAGCAATAGGCCTCTTTATAAGATTAAGAGTTCGCAGTTGTTGATTTAAGACCTTGCATTACATTTAGTGCTTCAAGTAATTAGTTTTCTCTAAATTATAACAACATGAGATGGTTAGTTAACTGTCTTCTCTGTATTGACTACTTAATTATTGATATTTAAATGTTAATGTTTCTCATTAATTAGAAGGGTTTTTATTTTATGGGGATATTATCAAAGTTATTTACTAGTCAACATATTCTAATCCTAATTCAAAAGATAAACATAAAGTTAACAGTTCTTGCAATAACAAGCAACAATTACATACCTTATTCATTTATATTCTATATTTCATCTGTATAAAACTTTAAAATGTTTTTAAGTTGTAATCTGGAATGTGCTAAATCGGGTTGAGGTCATGTAATAAATTCAGTGTTTGCTAGATGGAGTGGTGATTTATATAATAATGACTGATACATTGTGAGATAAATGAAGATTTTTAGTGACTACTGTAACAACTAAAACCCTACATTGTACAAACTACATTCTCTATATAATGATCAGTCAGAAAATAGCCAATACAATGCAGAAATAATTGTGTTCCATGTAACAAAAGCAAAGTCCTCCTCCATATACGAGGTAAGACTAGATACAATGCAACTGTGTCATGAAACACTAGGGACATTTTTTGACCAGACCAACTACATGAAGGAACAATTCAAGACAAATATAAAAACTGGGAAATTTAGTGATTTGGCTTTAAAGAATAGTGTATTCTCCTGTTCTTGACTGTGTAGAACCAGAAGGACTAAGAATGACAGGAGATACATTTTAAGGTTCTTTTTTCATTTTTTGATGTCATGAAGTTGAAAATTAAAATTGAAAGAGTGAGAAATGAAATTACTGTCATGAGTTTGACAATAAAGAATTCATGTGAACATTACAGAGATTTACTACAAGTTTTTTTTAAAAACTCACCGTTTTTTCCCTCTTTTGTTTTAGCTTTATTTTATTTCTTCTATTTTATTTTGCAGTTCATTTCTATTTCATTTAATTATATTTTTACATCTTTTGTTGTCATCTTATTGCCATTATTTTTAATTCAGGTACTTTTTCATAATATTTAATCTTTTCTTTTCACTCATGTTACACTTGTGAACAAAACATTTTGCAAAAGTATAATAAGAATAATTTTCTTAACTATTCTTTGTTAACCTTATATAGTAGCAGTACTTTTAGTGATGTTGAATGTACATGTAAATTGGATATAAACATATGTTTATAAAACTTAGGAAATACTTCCATTATAATGGCCAACAAATAACTATGAATAAACAGGAAATTGTTAGGGTGTAATACTGCCTTCTCTTTAGGTTTGATTGGTTGGAGAGCATGTGCCAGTGCTTTAATTGACTTAAGAGTTTGGTTGTTTTAGGGAAAAAAGAATCAACACCTTTTTCTAAACTTTCCTTTGATTTTAAGTCTTGTTACTTGGTTTTTAAAATTCATAGACTTATTACTAAGCTAAGTAAGAAGTAGAATGTATATGAATATCAATAATGTGTATCTTGAACTGTATAGAAATTACTAATGATTTTCTTTAATACAGTATTGTTTGTTTGTATTTAAGCACAAAGCTACACAATGGGCTATCTGTGCTCTGCCCACCACGAGTATCGAAACCCGGATTCTAGTGTTGTAAGTCCGCAGACATACCGCTGTGCCACTGGGGGGCTTTTAATACAGTATAAAGCTTCAGTTGTTTTGTTTAGTACTGAAGTAAATAGTTCTACTATTTAATTTAAAAAACATAAACTTCAATTTTTATGAAGAAATGTAATATGGGACTCCTTGTGTTTTTTGACCACTTTGCATTTACATAAGAAAATAGATGTATAGAGCCTGATGATCTACTGACTTTAAAATTGGTTACTCAAGAAACAAATATATGACTTATATTTTATAAATGAAAAAAAAATAATTTTGATCTTTTGTATTTTACTTTCTACAGAGGTGTTAAGAGTCCAATTAAAAACTTCTGCAAGTTTATCATGGTAATTACTATTACAAAATATGAATGCTTCATCCATCAACTTCCAAAAACATGAAAGTCGGAAAAACTGGTCATAAAAATTAGAGCTAAGTAACATAAAAAAAGCAAAACCACACACAGCTAAAGGAACTAACAACTTACAAGTTAACAATAACTAATTCTCTTAACATAACATTGTTAAAAGTCGTATACCTTGTTTTGAAAGGGTGAGATATTGGACAATGAATGTAGTGCATTTTCTGAACTCTCAGGAAGTCTTGTTAAATCACACATTAGCAACCTATGATTGCTTTCTTTAATAGAATCTGTTTTCATTATTTTCTCTTCATCTTGCACTTCTTTCAGCTTGTTTAATTCAAATATTTGGTCTTTTTCTTTCTGTTTCAGATTCTAAACATTGAAAACAACATGGTGCATCTATTTATTCAGTAATTAATTAAAATACATGGAACAAAACAACTTAAAGGTAATCAATTTGTAATATAACAAAACAAAACCACTGTTATAAAATAATTCAATGACTGTTATGTAAATCAGGCATCTAATGATCTAAACTTCAAACTGAGAAAGGTTTGTTGAAGATGTCCAACATCTTGGTTTTTGCATGTTCAACCTGGAATTTGTATCACTTCTCCTACTGCACCTTACAAACTTTCCATGACATTTTCTATTATTTGTCTCTTGTAATGTAATAGTGTAGGTAATTATGTTTAGACATTACATGTCAGATGTGTTTATTAATTTACAAGCAGTGTAACATTATTCAGTTTCTTCTTCTTGATCTAGAGGTCAATATATTCAACTATAATCTATTAATTAATTGAGCTGGAAATGACAGCTGTTTCTACTTTTTATAATAGGACTTGTGATATCCAGTCAATGTCATTTTGTTCACCACATCCACTGTGTTTATGTAGCATTATTGAATGTTAAGTAATGTTACAACAGCTGTTCCATTGTAGACTGATATATCAAAAAGTTTGTGTATGTGCAAGCATAAACACCTTAAAACACAAGAATTACAATAAATTTAATTGGTTATTAGTGTATTATACAGTAATACCTAATTAAATGTATTATAATTCATAATGCAAGTTTATTTGAAATTATTTCATATTTATCTATTAGATGTTGAATATATTTGATGAGGAAGTCAGATACGTACATAAACTTCTGAAAACTTAACTTCCCCTACGTATCTGAAAAGAAAGCATAAAGGAGACATATTAAAACAAAAAGATGCAGGTGAGGTTAAAATTTTTACTATGGCTTGTGACAAGTTAACTAATAATTTTAGGTTATTGAAAGACAGATTGTTAATTGAATACATAAGAAATACCAAACACTATCATGCAGTAAATAAATATGTTAACAGAGAGATAAGATGGTGCTACTGTAGCGTGCGGTCTACAAAGATATTTACACTATAACGTGTGGTGTACACAGATACTATCATCATCACCGTCTTAACTTTCGTTTATTTGCAATTGGTGTCATTTATTATAAATAACGCTTTTAAACTAATAAAGAACAAAATACCATTACATAATGTTTTTTGGGCAAATATAATTGGAATGAAATAAATTTCAACAATCAAAAATAGTATAATTATAACCTAAATTACACATAACTTATTAAACTATTATTATTTGCTGAACAAAAACGTGGACAGATATAAATAATTTACCAAGAAATTATGTTTTAGTGAATCATTAAAATGGTGATGATGATGATAGTATCTGTATAGACCGCATGCTACAGTCTAAATATCTTTGTAGATCACATGCTATAGTAGCACCGGTAAGACTGTCTATGTTTGAGTTACAATAGTTCTGAAAAATGTTAAGAAAGACTTGTGCACATTGAAATAAACAAGAAATATTAAAGTCAAACAAGGAAAAAAAGACTGTTTCAATATAGCTCAAGCTAATACTCTCAAAGCAAGGACACTCTTAGACTTGATAGATGTACAATGTATGGCTATGCAAGAACAGGTTTGTGAACTCAGACTCTTTCAAATATATTCTTATGCATTTGTTGCTAAGCTATGTTGGGTAACCATTTTGAAAATACAGCGTGGTATCAAAGAACATAAGATCAAAAATATGGTAAGCTCATAAGACACATTGTGATAACACTCTACATGAGACAAAGTTCAAATATTGATCTGTATGTTTTTCAATTAATTTCTGTTGCAAATTATTGGCTATCTTTTATTGCTAGACTATTACAGAAGAAGTTGACTGTCATTTTTCTATTTAACTTATGAATTAGATAGATGGTTATTTAAATTATCACAAAATCATGTCAAGGGATTAGGACAATGTTTCCAAGTAGTAGAGATGTTATGCACATGTCAGAACTACATGCTATGTGTTAGAAAAGATGTATTAAAATCTCTTTCTTCTAGATCATTCATAAGAATTTGGCAGAAAATTGGATAAAAAAAATTGTTCCATCTAACATGATGTATGATCCCCTTTCTATGTGAAGTATGAATAAGTTAAACATACTCCTACAAGTTCTGTGGCAGAAGGTTTACAAAGAGATGTTGGTGATACTGAAGTCTTAGTATTTTCAGGTAGGTTATAACAATGATTGTATTTTTAATTGGAACTCTTATAATTGGAAACTATATTAAAGCCAACCAGGAGATTTTTAGTCACCTCAAAATCTTGCAGTTTCTGAACGAAATCAGAAAATTTCTTACAACAAAAGCTGCATGGTAATCTAAAGTAACGAATAACAGAAATATATTGGTTTGTTTTACATGTAGAGCTCTTGATTTTATTATAAATTGGTCTAATTCACACATTTCTTTTATGGATCTTTGGTAATGCATAATGTATGGGTGATGTATCTTTATAAGAGCAGTCATTTTTGAGAAATATCCTCACTAATTCCTTTAAATTTTGCAAGATTACCTAATTTTTCAAATGTCTTTTAGCTGTTTTAGTAGGACGATTGATAAAAAAGTTTTGTTAGCAGTTTTGAGATTGTTTTCATAACTAGACCTGTCCATAATAACTAGTTTTTGCCTTTATCAGAGTTGTGCTTCAAATAATGAGCTACTCAGTCACGAGTACCCACTATGATTGTGTATAAACTTATGAAGATTTTTCATTTTGAATGGATAATAATATCTTAAATAATTATTGCCAAAGCTTTTTAAAATATCTAACTTAGTTTCTCTGATTTTTCTTACAAAACATATATCTCACTCTAGCTGTCATTGTTTGAATATAGTTTATTACAAGAGTTAATTTTCTGGCGTGTATTTATGATGCTTATTTATCATGACTGTTAAGGTATTTTGGGTTCTAAGTTGGTGTGAGAGAAACATGCAGATAAGGATAACTTGTCTGTTTTATAAAGTGGTTCAAGAGATATACCAAACATAATAATACGTATTTAAGACTGCAATGTAACCTAAATAAAAACCGGTTTGAGTCACGTCACGCTTGATTTCTCAAAATAGGAGGAGTCATAAAAACCAAAATGCACTTATCCAGATAGAATAGTTCAATTACTGTCTGTCCAATGATTGGGACCATGAGGAGTGTGTGCTGTGAAACCTTACAAGTTTAGTGAGTGTTGGTATAATAAGCCTAAAGATGTGTGGGATGACCTAGCCTAGAGCCAAGTGCATAAAATTTATCATGAAAGTAAAAATATCGATTCAATTTTAAACTTAAATCGTTTCTGAATTAAGCTATTTTCTGTTATATCCCCAATGTTTTTAATAAAAAAACAAATCTCTTTAATCAATGGA